ATGTGGAAACCCCGGTGGTGACACTGAATCATGCCTATAAATTGGACAGACTCATTTTTAATTTGGTGTCCGTCATTTAAACTTGCTTCCCTGTGTGTGCTGCTACGATCTTGTTTGACAAGTGATACAGGCTACAACCATCATTCTGTGAGACTTGTATGAACTGCTCTGCGATCTCCTGCTTTCATCGGTGCTCTCCAGAATACCAGCGTTCCTCTGCAAGCAAGACTGTCGTCCAATAATACATTCTGGTGCTGTGAGTTATCACCAATGCACACTTCCCTAAGCAATCCACTATTTTAGTGACTTTATTCATTGTATTTTTCAGTGCTTTATTTCTTGTAATTATTTTGAGAGGTATTAAAGCCAGGAGCTTTAACGTGATATTTTGGTGCATGTGTATTTCATTTCCAGTACTATTGTCTTGTATACCCCATATTGGAATTGAAAAAAAAAACCATCCAGTGTGAGTTATGTGGGTGGCCTCTCATTAGCGATAAGCAGGCCTTGCCTTGTGACAGACTCCAATATTTATTCCGCCGTGAAACCTTGTACAGCGCATATAAATGTCATTTGTTATCAAGCTTACAATAAACTGAATCAATCATGCTCACAAATCATAAGCCATAAAAACAAAAAAAAGATTTATGGTCATCGGGCATGAACTGTTGTACTTCTTGGCGCAGTGCTGTGTAAATGACGGGTTATGTGGAATTTAATCAATATAAATTAGATGGTTGGTTGTTGAAGGGATCAGGTAAAGTATAAAAAAATATTCAGCCTTATTCGTGTGTGGTTGATATTAAAGGTGGGTTATTGAAGTACTGGTGTCTGGGGAAACTTCAACAAACATAGCATAGTATTAGCTGTACTGACAATCGAAGATGCCTTACCTACGATTGAACATCAAACAATTGGTCTAGCCCTGCCACACCTTCACTTTGGTGTTAAAATTATTGATCGAGAATTATTCACCAACACAGGGTGTATATGGTCACGTGTACTGACTCTCACAAAACTAACTAACGACACTGGTATTTGCGTGTCATGGATGTCAAGTTGTTATTTTATAACATTCTACCACTCTGCTGAAGATATTCCAGTGTCAGAGTGTATTAAAAGTTCATTTAGACAAATGCATCACACAATGTATCTTGTATCTGACCCAGTGCCAATGTTACCGAGGGTCACTATGTTTCCCTGATACTGTACTTCATTGGAAACAGTAACCCTTGTTGCGGTTCAGCGCCAGCTTGGTACAAACATTTAAAAAATACTCTCAACCAATCTATTGTTTTTGTTTTTCCGTGCTGATGCTTTAAATAGTCACTACACCAGTGTCCCCTTTATTTGTTGTATCTTACGTCATTTTCTTTGTACAGATTCACAATCCTGCTTCTCTCACCTCGTACGTGCTTCCAGTTTTGATTCCAAACACCGAGAAGAGTAGATTTGATAAATGTTTGTTCTTATAAAAAACACTAGTTAAATGATTGAATACGTATGAATACTATTATACAGCTTTTATGAGATTATGTCATACAAGTAAGGTCTAACCAAAAATAAATACATAATTTAATGTGATCATATAACATTTTTATGTTTAAATTTTGCTAGTTAATACCTTGTGCTTCCGTAGTGGTTTCCGTTTACAGTCTGCGGCTATTTCAGTTAAATGTTTCATTCTAATTTTTGCCAGAGGAATAGTCATTAAACAGAAGATCAGCGCCAATGTGTATACTCCAGGGTGCAAAACCATTAAACTATAACGTAGTCCTATGGCTGATTTCATAAAAGGGACAACTGTATTCAAATTGCCTCCAAACATATTTATAGAGAACACATAAAAGGCAAGCGCTAAAGTCTGGCGCCCTCTAGGGGCATGTTCGACAACTAAAGCCATAGCAATACCTCCCCACATTTCTATGGCTGCGTAGTTTGGTATGAGAAGGATAAAACACCATGGTGGGGATAAATACAACACACCGATAGATAAAGGTATCGATACAAACTGAAAAACAAACAGGTTATTGAATTAATTAATAATTTAATTATTAATTAATAAATTAATTAATTATCTCAAAAACTGAAAAAGTTGACGACGTATTGAATATGTTAAGTTTTTGTAAGTAAATACAAATAATGGTAACTTACAATACACATATTGAACACATACAGTCTACCAGCGTATCCTCTGTAGTAAGCTGCTTTATCTGCCAACATCCCACCAAGAAGAGATCCAAATATTCCCATTGCAACTGGGATCCAGATCATGAAATGTTCATATGGGTAATCCGGAAAATAATGTCGGAAATAATTATTTATATTGTAGCGGAAAACATAACCACCACCGCATCGCAATGAAGAAGTGATTAGTAGTACGACGAATAGTGGGCTGCAAAAAGAAACATCAGAGTCCGGGTATACGTTTTCTGAATGTCTGGCGTTATTTTTATCTACAGTCGCAATCTGAAAGAATAAATAGTGAATAATTATTTTATTTAACTTGAAGATATAATTATGTGTTATGTTATGCGTAATTTACCAACTTCCTGCTATTGAATTTTGTGGCTTACATCCCAGCTCAGGATGTGATATAGAATTTGTTAAATTTTGAAATCTGTCAAGTTATGTACATTGACTTCATGCGATGATTAAACAAGTAATTGGTTTTCCACAACAATTCAACGGTCAAGTATTCAACTTATACATGTCAGCAAAACAGAATTGTTTTCAAATCAAGTTACCTCTTTTCGTGGTTCTTTCACCGTCACTACCATTAAGTACAGTAACAACTATTCCAGGCACTGCTGTAATCCAGTATGCCCATCTCCATCCTAAGTGATCGACTACAACGTCCATCACAAACGCCATACTAAATGCAACGTAAACACCCCAGTGGAATAAACCTAGTCCAAATCCTCTCAAACTCTAGTATATAAAGTAAAATGACTAGAGGTAAAATATAAATAAACACCAAACCAAATAAACATCGAATTCCGGAAACAGTATACGTTTTACATAGACATGGTGAACTTAGCGAGTGATTGGTGTATGGGGTTCATGGCTGTTGATACAATGTCAGGTGTGCGTATGAACCATATACCACATGTGACACCACAAAAGAAAGATTTACCTGCACACAGTAGCTTGATATTACACTTGCTGCCAGTGCTGTAAATGGGGATTCACTATGTCCAGCAGGAAATATATTCGTTCAGACATTAGCGTTCCACAGAACAAAAGTAAATATAATAATTCAAAGTCAGTTAAGAGTACAATATTTAGAAGTTCATTGTCATAAAATATGTGAATATCCAGAGCTACAAACAGGGTGTTGTTGTTTAAAATACGAAGACATACTACATAAGCTGTTAAGTTGTTTATAAAATGCCTGCTGATAAAAATTATAATACATCTCTCCCATGATTCGTACACTCCAGTGATAAAGTCGTGGCAAAGTACTGAAAAATAGTGGCAAAGTACTGTAAAGTACCGCAAAGTAGTGGCAAAGTACTGAAAAGTACGGCAAAGTGGTGGCAAAGTACGGAAAAGTAGTGGCAAAGTACTGAAAAGTACGGCAAAGTAGTGGCAAAGTATGACAAAGTAGTGGAAAGGTACGGCAAAGTAGTGGCAAAGTATGGCAAAGTAGAGGCAAAGTACGGCAAAGTAGTGGCAAAGTATGGCAAAGTAGTTGCAAAGTACGGCAAAGTAGTGGGAAAGTACTGCAAAGTAGTGGCAAAGTACCTCAAAGGACGGCAAAGTAGTGGCAAAGTACTGCAAAGTAGTGGGAAAGTACGGCAAAGTTGTGGCAAAGACTGCAAAGTAGTGGCAAAGAACTGCAAAGTACGGCAATATAGTGGCAAAGTACTGCAAAGTAGTGGCAAAGTGCGGCAAAGTAGTGGAAAAGTACTGCAAAGTACGGCAAAGTAGTGGCAACGTACTACAAAGTAGTGGCAAAGTACGCAAAGTAGTGGGAAAGTATTGAAAAGTAGTGGGAAAGTGTGAAAGCCCTTCCAATTGTCGATATCTCACAACCAAGGACATCGACTTCACCCACGTATGCCATTTGTCGTAGCAGAAGCGCTCCGCCGCTAGATGGCGCGATTTAAAAGAATAATGCATTGCTGATTACTAGTACTTACAATAATGCCAGCGCCAATCTGGTGATAACTAAATGCAGATATTCTTTAGAGAATCCTGTCAAGGCAACCACTACACTCCACAGTATTGCACAAACCGCAATTACAAGTTTCCGATTTATTGGGAATTTTTCCATTATCAGAGATACAGGTATTCCCATCACACTGAACAGCACTTGAAACAATGGTCCGGCGAGAAGCTGGTACTGTAAACCCGTTCCTGTATAGAGCCATTCGCAGTATTCACTGTAATGAACTACTTTACACCTGTGAATAATGCACAATATACTGATACTACAACAAATTAACTTGCAGATCACGTCAGGTAAAAATGTATTCAAACGTGAAGTGTGAAAAAAATGTAATTTGTCACTTAAAGCTTTAATGTCACTGGAACCCAAGGATGATTATTGCTTTTAATTAGGTATGATGTTATACTACTTTATTATATATTACTGTTTATTGCAATGTCACGTGACTTACATTGTTATATTGGTACAAAATGTATCCACCGTTGTGTTCAAATGATGGTATTCAATATATAATTCCACCGCTGTGCTGTTAGATACCTTACATACTTTATCTCCAAAATGAAATTCATTCGCCATCTCCACGTTTGTAGCAATTAATATATATCTGTATAATCGCAAACAAAGCAGATAATTATACCTCCGTTTTTCAATTGATGTTTGCATACTTGAATCACGTGATATACCAGTATGATCGGACTATTGATTGCACGAAACAACACAGTATACGACACAATACACGCACATACAGATTGACGTAATGCAATCAAATAATAAGACTACACTGTAGATGCCGTCTATTAT